TCCTTGGTATTGACGTGGGTTGTCCCTGTCACCACTGTGGCCATCGCCAACATGGGATGGTGGCCCCATGACCACCATGGCCAACACCAACGTGGGATGGTGGCCCCGTGACCGCCATGGCCATCACCAACACACAATGTCCTCATCATTGACTTGGGTTGTCCCTGTCACCACCATGGCCATCGCCAACGTGGGATGGTGGCCCCGTGACCACCATGGCCATCAATGACATGGGACGGTGGCCCCATGACCACCGTGGCCATCACCACCACGCAACGTCCTTGGCATTGACGTGGGTTGTCCCTGTCACCACCGTGGCCGTTACCAACGTGGGATGGTGGCCCCATGACCACCATGGCCATCACCAACGTGGGATGGTGGCCCCATGACCGCCATGGCCAGCACCAACACACAGTGTCCTCATCATTGACTTGAATTGTCCCTGTCACCACCGCGGCCATCGCCAAGGTGGGATGGTGGCCCCATGACCACTATGGTCATCACCAACACACAACGTCCTTGGCATTGACGTGGGTTGTCCCTGTCACCACCACGGCCATCACCACCATGGGATGTCCCTGTCACCACCACGGCCATCGCCACCGTGGCCACCACCACCATGGGACATCCTTGTCACCACCACGGCCATCACCAACATGTCCTCGTCACCACCGTGACCATCACCCACGTGGGACGTCCCTGTCACCACCATGACCATCACCCACGTGGGATGTCCCCAACCCGCATGGCCATGCCGCTGACGTGCGGTGGCCCCGTCATTGATGTGGGAGGTCCCCGTCACCACCGTGACCGTCACCGACGCACAAAGTCCCCATCACTGTCACTGCTGTCCCCGTCACCACCGGGGGACGTCCCCACCACGGGACGTCCCCGTCACCACCAACACATCACAACCATTCCCGTCACCGGCATCTCCAATGTCACCTCCAGCCTGGGATGCCCCCGTCACCAGCGTCCCTGATGCCACCACCGCAGGAGGTTGTGTCACAGCCGTCCCTCGGGACGCCGGTGTCACACGTGTCCCCGCGATCACCCCCAGCAGACGCGTCCCCACCACAGGACACCCGTGTCACCCTGTCCCCGTCAGCATCGCTGCAGGACACCTGTCACATGTGTCCCCGTCACCGGAGGACACCCCGTGTCCCCCGATCCGCACTGGATGACCCCGTCACTCGTGTCCCTACGGGGACAAGTCGCTGTCGTGTCACCGTGGGACGCTGCCTGTCACCCCAGTCCTCACAGGACACCCCGCGTCCCCCCCGTGTCCCCACGGACACGTCACGGGGGTTCCGGCAGGACAGCCCTGTCCCACGTCCCCGTGTCACCCTGCTCCCTGTGGGGTGACCCCATCGCCACGAGCCACCCCACGTCCCCTCAGCCCTTGTCCCCACGGGCCACCCTGGGTCACCCCAGCCCTGTCCCCATGGGACACCCCCTGTCCCCGTCCCCGTGGGACAGACGCCCCATGTCCCCCTGTCCCCACAGGACACCCCATATCCCCCTGTCCCCATCCCCACGGGA